TTTATGAGGCTGGAAAATGATAGCTTGGCAGAAGTTGAGTAATACTAGAGCAAAGGATTTATTTAAATTGGACTACCTTTTTTTTTATTTTATTTTTTATTTTGTCCTTGATCCTTCCAGACCTCACTGAGATGAAAAATGTGTAAGTAGTTCTCCACATTCAGCTGACAAGTGAGGTAAAGAAAAGATTATTTATGTAAGTGAGGCATTATTTTGTAATTTTATCTTCCAAAGGTTTTACATATTTTTCTGCAGAATATATACTATTGGAAGTTATACAATTTTTATGCCTACATTTTGCAAAAAATACATAAAAATCAACTCACAAACAAAAATAGTAAGAGTTTTTACACAAATTTTAACACAGTTTTAAATTAGAGAAGCTGCATTTCTCTGTAGTAGTACAGAAGGACAACCTGTCCAGAAGAGCTTATAGTCAAACGTATAGATTTAACAGAGGTGCATGTGTATCCTAAGAAGAGGCCCTTGTGTATCTAACCAGAGTAAAAGTACTTTTTCATTTGCAATCAAAAAATCTCTCCCATCTTAATACTGTTTCTTCAAAAAGCCGTGTCAACACCAAGTCTGGTTTGTTTGTTTGTTTGTTTTTGACTGTGTCCTAATCCTTATGCAATGAGTTAATTCATCCTCTAGAGCATAAAGCCCTGGACACATCCTTCATCAACTGAGCAGTTCTTGTTATGCTGAAGCTTAATGCAATTTTCATTAAACTGCAATTTCAAGTTTGGCCTCAAAACATACAATATCTGTCTATTAAATCATAGCTATAGATATGCTATGACAGATTATCTATCAATAGTTATACAAAACATACAATATCTCTTTGTAGCTATGCTAGATTTTTGCTTATATACTTCTGTGTTTCCCACAATTCCTTTAATCAACAGTGATTTAGGAAAAATAGGAGTATTTTAAACATAAAAATTGTCCGTTCTCTTTTCTCCAAGCAGGCCAAGGTTCTCTGACTCCCTTTACCAGCATTTTGAAAATGCGGCTGATGTCTCAGCACCAGGGGGTGAGGGGTTTAGTAGGGTGCTCTGCACCCAGCATGCAGGCCTGATCCTGTGAGGTGTTGAGTGCTTCCCAGGAAGCGATGAGCTCTCTGAAATCCCTGCGATTCAGATCCCCAGGCCAGGCAGACACTGACCACATCTCCTCTGACACCCTCCTGAGAACACTTTGCTCTGCAGCACACACCAACCTTGTCCTCAAGTGATGCCTTGTGGAAGTTCTCAATTAATAAATTGCTCATCCTGGTAATGAGGCGGGTTGAATTTTGGGCAAATGCTGACTACTGTGGAGATCACTCTGCCAAAATACTGAATTATTTGTCCACTTGGTGTCTGGAGTACATTTGGATGTAGCTCCTCAGCAACGAGGGCTGGTGTGCAAACCCTCTGGGGTGGTTGGCTGTCTGTACATCCCAGCTGGATGCTGCAGGTTGCTTCCCTTCCCTCAGCCTCAGAGCCCAGGGCCAAACAAAACCCATGAGGCAACACTCTTCCTGCAAACATGTCTCTTCTGCTCAGAGGCTCTTGTGGTTGCCAGGTGGCTTCCTATGCCTCCACCCACACCAGCACACCATGGCTGGGGAATCATGCAACTGAGCGTGGATCATATTCAGCTTTGGATAACTCTCAGAGTTGAGAGAAATAAGAGGAAAAGACTTCCCCTCCTGTCTTTGGGTGGTTTCCAAACCTCCGGGTGAACTGAAATTGGGAAAAGAAAACAAAAAACCCCTCTCTGTTTCAGAAAATTTAAACACTAACAACTCTTTCTCCTCCTCTTATGAATTATTTGCTCAACTGAACACAAATTAACAAATAGGTCTGAAGTGTTCAGTAAATAATTGATCAGCTGGGAATTTTATTTGGCCACACTCTAGTAATTGTTTTCTATTACTATTAGTACAAGCCCAGATGACACAAAAGGTTGCTACTCAGTGACACAAGTAACAACTATATTAGCTTCTGGTTGCAGGGCAGTACGTAGCCGAGAGATACTTGAGATAGCTTTAAACTGGCTAGCTGGGGTGCTAGCCATTTGTTCACCTGCAAAAGCAGAGAAGTTGAGTTGGGATATCCCACCTTTCGGTATCTTCATGTATTTTTTGTCTCATCTTCACATCAGAGTCCCTTCTGCAACAGTGAAAACCTCAAGGGCCAATGTGAGAATGTGCTCCTTGACAGAGAGTTTGTTTCTTTGTTTTAGCATGTGTGATGTGAAAGAGATTTAAAAAAAAAAAAGCCTAGATTTTTTTTTTTCCACAAAAGCTGTTTCACACCTGCTATTCTATGCTTTAGGAGAATGAAAAATTGAAACTGTATCTGAGTTTTATCCCTTTACTTTACATATTTCCATTCCTGTTTCCTGACCCTGTCAGGACTAGGCCCAGAAGAAAGAAAATTCTCCTAGAGTATGACTTTTCCCCAAACGTTAAAGAACAGAAAACAAACCCAAAACCAACAGCAACCTCTCCACCACATAAATCCCAAATAATCTGATCCAAAGGAAACAGGAAACATGCTTCTAGAAATCTCCCAGCCTAAAGCTGAAAAGACTCCAGGGAGACTCTTTGACTTTAATACCTCTCTGGCCAAACATTGAGGTTCACCAATCTGTATTTCATCCCATTTTACACCAGAAACTTGGTTGGGCAGCTCAGACTGGCAGCACAGGCTCCTTATTTAGCCAGCAAAGGGAGAATTCAACCCACCTGAAGTCACAGCTGGTCTGTCTTTAGCAGACAGTAATTACCTTCTTACTTCAGACGAGTCGCTTTGGTGCATAAAGGCATGTATGTTATGCATGTGTATATGCATATATGTAAAGGTAAACTTCCCCATCTGGCCATAACATAACTGCTTTGCTTCCCTTTTATGTGGAAAAGCAACTGTTGTTTCCAGAGTGACTGCTGCCCTGAGTAATTTTTTGGGTCTCAGAGAGATATATGATGTACTAGAAACCCACTGCTGTGCTTCAATAAAAACGTCTGCCAGATGGGTAGCTCCATCTGAACTAGGATCAGCGGTCTTTTTGAGCCTATATAGCTAAAGGGAAAGCAAATAAAAACTAGTTTGCACTTTGGGCTGTTTTATTGAATGGTATGAAACCATTCCAGCGTGTTTGTATGGAAAAAAAAAAGTAGTTATATATAAGCGTGATACCGTAGTGCCTGAATAGCACTGCAATGATATATTTAGCTTGAATGAACTCCTAAGCCCTGGTTCAAATGCTGTTCAAACTAGTGTATGTTCATCTCCATGATGGAAAAAGATGAGGATGGAGGTCTTATTCTGTTGCACCAGCAGTCCAAGACAGTTAACTTTCCATGCAGCAAGTCACATGAATTGAATATATAAAGCAAGCAGAGAGCACAGAGTAATGATTTTCCATCCCTGGCTCATAAAAGCAATCGCATGCTGATCTTTTTGGACAAATGACTGCTCTCAGCTGAAACCTCCCTACCTCCTACTGTGAATGTGTTGAAGAGGATAGGCACTTAAAGTGATCAGACAAAGTCCAGCATCACTTGATGATAAAGCCCCAGTTAACACATATCCTCTTGGGGCTGTACAGTTGTTTTAGTGACCAGAGACAGCAAAAAGAAGTTACAGGAATATGATGGCAACCTGAGAAGATTTGTGCAGTGATGGAGAGAGTACAGCCCATAGATTGAGCCAACCAGACCAAAGCTGATCTCTACTGTACATGGCCAGGCTCTTAAGTTACACAGTTTAGTCCGTTGCTTACCAGGAGGGATAGAACTAATCACGTATGTTTAGGGGAAAGGCACAGTTTATCAGATCCTAACCCAGAGGTTCATGTTCTCTCTCTTTACCTAGAAATGATGGTCATTCGAGGTTACAGGAGAAGTAGCTGAGAGATCAGCATGCAACAGCTTTCATGACAGCTGCCTTCATCTGTTAGGCAGCCTTTTCTACTCCAGAGCAGATGGCTTTGCACTTGGCACAAAAGCCAAATGGATAAAACAGAGATACACGTACAAAACCTTTTTTGCCCCCACATGCATTAATGCTTGCTGAAGACAAGTTACACTGGGCTTTCAAAGAGAGGTCTCTGGGTAACTGTGTAGAGGAAGTTCATTACATTCTTGTTTTTAACAAATTAGTTTGGTTCCCAAGCTTTACTACTCAGGAAATGGTTGGGGAACTCAAAATTGAACATTGTCACAGTATGCTGCTGGAAGAGATGAAGACATGCTTGAACTTTACTACATTCTGCACAGATTTTATTTTCAGACATCATGTTTATAAATTTAAGTACTAGAAGTAGTGAACAAATACTTAGTAAGAACACATCAGAAATACACCTGTGTTAACAAAGCATCTCCAAAAGCAAAACACTAAAAATTCAAGAAATAGCTTTTTCTTCTGTGCTTATCAGAGGATGATACAGCATATGACTGAAGCTGAATATTGTGGCTTTGTTTTGGGGGACACTCCCCCTTCTCCTTTAGCAATAAGAAAAGTCAGCAGAGCTATTAGTATTCCTGATAATGCCCTGATTCAAGATTCACAGAATATTCTGGGTTGGAAGGGTCCCACAAGGATCATCAAGTCCAAAGTTTTCTGCAATTGTATAACCTCGCTGTTCTTCTTGTGCAGAGTGTTTCCCCGCTTATGAATATCAATAACTCCTGAGAAAATAAAGCCAGAATTTCCTGAGTGATCAGCTGATCTACTAGAATACAGGTTATCTGATCTTCTTAAAGGCAAAGTGGTTATGTTTTACGGCTATAATGGCTGGCCAGTGAGACAGAAGGAAAGAACAGACTTGTTAAAAAATTAACACTTAAAATAATAGACAATTGGCTGCATATACAGAAGTAAAGCACAGCGAGAGAAGGCAATGCCCTTTTAACAGTAAGTTTGTCTGATTTCCTTATTTGCAAACTAGAGAAATAAAACTAAGTCCTGGGCTCATATCTGAGAACTTCACATTGATCAGGTGCCCCTAAAGAGCAGATGTCCTGTTGGTTTTAAAGCATATTTCCAGATTTACACCACCATGAAAGCAGAATCGAATACTCTCTCCACTTGCTGATTAATCTGCAGCGCTGCTTCAGCATTTTCACCAGGCACAAGGTGGAGATTTCCACCCAGCTGGACATTACCTGACCTCCCTAGAGCAGAGGAAGATTTCAAGTTTCTAAACAAAATAGCATGGCAGTGTACCATGTTGGATTTGTATTGATCAGGCAGCATTTTAACAGATCTTCTCAGCCTAATTTTAAATGCAGTGTACCACAGAAATAATCCCCACCATCTCTTGTGTGCTGAACAGGACCAAAATATGTCTCAGTAGAAGATGGGAAGGATAAATGAGACACAAGAAATTTTTTCACTGAAGAACCTGGTATTGTCCATGGAAAATTCTTTTCTTGGCCACATTAATGTGGTTTTGTCACATAAGTGCTAAGACGGGGATGCAATAGCTGCACTGGTTATTTATAGAGGCACTGTATAAAGATTAACAGATGTTTTCAGCACAGACACGTACTCTAATGGTTACTTGCAATACATTTCCATTAGAGAAGTCGAAGCATTAGAAAAAACTGTAATTCAGAAACTCAAAAATAAACCCCCTAAATTGCTGAGTTTTTTTGGAGGATCCACCTGTTGTCCATTAAGCTAATTGCTGTTCTACTCCAACTGTTGCAGGCCGCTTCCCTCTTTGATCAATATCGATTTAAAACATGGAAGTGTGGAAAAAGCAAGCCAAAGGTTGTGATGCTGTCAATAAGTCACAGCAACACTTCAGACAAGGTACGTGTTAAACTCTTGGCACTCGATTAGAAGTTAATCATATTGTCAATCCCAAACATTTAAAATTCAAAATTAATCAGATTTTTTAAAACACTGTAGATAGACAGGTTTGGAGCCTCCATTGGTCACTCTCAAATTCTACTATTAAATCACAGGTAATTTTTTAATAAATGCTGACACTAAAAACCAACCTACATCCCAAAACACAATGCTGATTCTACCGTCATGGCCAAGTTGCAGTGCAGCTGTGGGTTTTGGCTAAAAAAAAATACAGTGAGTACAAAATATCCATTTCAAAACAAGACACCTTTTGATACCAGTCTGACTGCAAAATTCTCCCAAGGTAAGTTTCAACTAAGTCAGTACAAATGAATAATTATTTGTTTTATCTTTGAAGTTGGATTTATTTTGCCCAGTCTTGTTTAGTGCTTACAGGTGCTGAAGACATTTGCCTAATTTTCAGGGTGAGCTGTCTAAGCAGTAAGTTATTTCAGAGTGCTTTAATCTGCAGGGTAAGTATATGCACCGTGTTTGCACAAAAACATAAGTAGTGCAGGCTGAGCAGTCATCAGGCATCTCTACGTGGTCAAGGCTTTTTTGTAGGGACGGGGAGCTAGGAGTGAAAATCAACATCATTATCACTGTTAATGAAGGATGAAGAGCTCAAGCTAACCATGTGGTAGAGCCATCAGGAAGGATGTCAAAAATTGGCTAATAAAATTTAGTAAGTGTAAAGTTCATTTGACCTTTCTGTATGGAAAGCGAGCTCTCTATACAGAGCTCATGCTCAGAGCTGCCAGATGGGAGGAAATATCTGGTATGATACCTTCCCTGTGCTCAGTTTAGCACGTGGAGCAGAACAGAGCCCGTGCTCTTAATGAGAGCCTGTGCATTCATTAATCTGTCATTACATCTGATGAGCAGCATGGATAACCATCAGAGAATATTCTGACCTTCATTAGACATTCATAGAGCCCTGAGCCAGAAGCGGCTAACTTTACCAGCATCCTGACAAAATTCACCTCCTGCACTTGAAGGCAGCCTAGAACAAGACACACAATTTCAGAATTTCAAGATTTAATTTGAGACACCTCCTAGGACCCAGGTCAGGAGTGGAATCTGAGAAGAGTTTTACTGTCAAACTGAACAAAAATAACTATAATCCTGGCTCCAAATAGTTTTCTGATGCCTGAAATGCAGACTTGGCAGTTTGCAAAACATCAGATAGGACATTCTGTTCCTTTTTGTCCACATCTTTTTGTTCCATACCTATAATGGGTTATTAACCTAAATGGCAGTACATCAAACTCATGTTTCTCTGAACATCAGATGAGCAATTGCCATGTTAGCAGACCTCTGAAATTAAGCATCTTAGCTGTTTGAAGCAGAACGGGTGCCCTGCTGTCATTGTCCTTGCCCATACTGTGGTCCCTGCCAAAGTCTCCATTCAGGACAGGGTCCCAGATGGTCTAGGTGCTGTAAAATCAGAGTCTAAACCTCACAGAAGAGCTCCAACAAAAGCTTTGAGGGGCTGAAGTGGAGACAGCCAGAAGAGAAAGTGAAGTGATCAGAGTAAACCTAGCACGTCCTGCAGACTACAGGCATCAAACAGGCAGCTCTGACCACATTAAATTTTAAACTTGGCTTTGATCTATCTGACCCAGTTCCTCCCTTTGTAATTTTCAATTAAGCCTATAAGAAAAAAGAAACACAATTTTCTTTAAACCAGTCAAAGAAAATAAGCCTTTTCTCCTGCTTTGAGCAGCAGACCACAATAGTGTATGTTCTGTTCAGGAAAAATAGAATTTTCTCAGATTCTGAAGCTTCCTGCACATTTCCATCATGTTTCCATGATCAAGAAAAACCCATATTCATCTATAAACAGTATCAGGACCTGGTTCAGTATGAACACTATCAGACACACAAGGAGGGGCGTTTCCTGTGCACCCTGGGCAGTGGGGCATTAGCACAATTACCCCCAGTACTGGATTGCAGTGAACCCTGTAAGTGTGGCTGGTCTTGTTCTCTCACCTGAATGTGGCCAGGCTCTGCTTGGGTCCTTCATGTGGTCTATTTGTGCAGTGGCACAAAGAAGAGGCACAGGAAACGTTTCTACCTAGAAGGTCTCATTGAGGCTTCAGTAACTTTCATCAGCTGGTCACTGTCCTTTTGCTGTGCTGGTCCTAAACTACAGCCCTTGGTGCTTTAAAACTTTCCAGACGCTACAAAGAGACAGAAGGCACAGTTTCCCACTGAGGGATTAGAAGCGGTCTCTGCCCAAAAGCCTTGACTACTTTTGCCTACAATGAGGTAAAGCTGAGCTGCCTTTGCTTTCGAGGGGTAAGAATGGCAACTTGCTTTATTTGAACCTTTTCAAACTGATCTGATAGCCCCATAGGAAGTCAGAGAGAAAATCAGGTTGTTGCAGATTTCTCCAAAACCACCTTGTCTCCCGCCTGTAATTTATGGCTTACATTCAGTTTAACATTTACTCTGGCCTCTAATCGGGAGGCCTGGAGACACACCATTTATAACGCTGCTGATGCTTTTGAGAAAGCACGCAGGATCACCCTTGAGGAGAAAAGACAACGCAGAAAGAATCGAGCCTTGCAGAATATACCCTCTAAGGAGTCTTTCTGCTGTGTCTTTTGCAACCAGACTTGCCTTTCTTGTATAGGCCTTTTTAGCCACCAACGCACTTGCAAGAAAAGTGGGTAGAGCCCTTCCCAAATCTTCGTTCGCGAAGCCTAGCCATGATGACATTCAGTTTAGGTGTTTGCCTCTTACAGGCAAATTACCACAATACTGTATGATGTAACCACGTGTTAAATAAGCTATACGCTTGGCATTATCCAAAATGGGGCCATTATCTGCAGGGACCTTGCAGAGTCCCATGTTAAATAGCAACAAGGGAGATGCACTTAGGGGCATCTAAGGGGCAGATTGGCACCTGTGGGACAGAAGAGACACCTGTTGTGCCCATATTTTAGCAGCACTAATCCGTGTCAGGAAGAGCAGGTTTGAAGCCCTCAGGGTTTAAGTCAATCATATTGAAATGCTGCGCACCAGAGGATCGGGGGCGGTAGATGGTCTAAACAAGGTCTAGATGGGTCATGTTCATTCAAGGCAGAAGACATTCAGGAATTTTAAGGAAAGCTAAACCCTTGCCAGCCATGCCTTGCTGCCGTAGGTGGCAAAGGGAAAGAGAGATGAGGTGCAGCTGTCTTGTCTTAGTGCAGGAGCACAGGGTGCACGTACAGCTCTCAGGGAGCTATTGGAGAGGCTCCAGCTTTGGGAGCAGCGTGCATGATGAAAGGTATGCAAGGACACCCAGCACTTGCCCACGCTGTGCAAGACAGTGCAGGATAGTGCCCCCCCCATCCTTACAGATACCCCATGATCTGGATGTGCAGCAGCACAGACCCCAGAAGCAAGACTGTATTGCACTGTAACTACATGCATCTCAGCCAAGGCACCCTCCTGCACAGTGCTTTGGGGTGGTGTCTGCGTTTCTTCTGATTTATCTCTTCACTCATAGGAAACTCTGAATTTATTGCCAATGCAAACAGCCACAGACAGGCACACAAACACATGGAGTTTATGCAGCTTTTCTCCCTACATCCTGAGAAACTATGTCACATCATGACTTGCCTTCCACTTCCTTTCCTAAGGAACTCATAGTACCAATATATTTCTTAACATACTTGTCGGTGTTCAACAGGCCAGCCTGGTTGAGTAAATGCTACTATAATAACACTTAGTGTCCACTGTACAGCTTTGCTCATATTCAAGGGCATTTAAAAGTCTCAAGTTTCTGCAGTTCTGAGGTAGAAACATTTATGATTCTTATAGCTCTGTGTTGTAAATAAAATTTGAATATGAGGAAATACATGCAGAAAGAATTAGATTATGACTGCAAAGTCACTGGCAGTTTAAGGAAGAATGTGACATGTACAAGTTCTCTGAAAGTAACAGACCAGCTTTCACCACATTTTTTATGAGAAAATTTTATATGTCTTTGTACAGAAATATCCTTTTCACTGCTCTTATAGCTCAGGGATGTGATCACATTTCATTAATTTCCTTTACAGACCACAGGGTGGCAAAGATTGCTTGGTGCTTGGCTTCTGCACAGCAAGTCAACAAGCTGGAAACTGAGGTCCTCAGCACCTGGATTGGAGCACTCACTGCCCTTGAGTGAACAGAAACTGTGACAGCAGCAACATGAAGTCCATTGTTTGGATATGCAGGTTATAGTCCCTTCCCATAGGAGGAACATAGAAGACGAGGAACAAAACAAAGGTTCAGATACTACAGCAGAAGATGGGCTTCCAGGTGGAGCCCATAAAAGGCCAGGTCTTTATGCGTTCCAGGTCTTCAGAGCCTAAAATGGACAGATGGCACTTCAAGGCACCACTGATGATTCACGCTGCAAATAAACTTCAGAAGGCAGCAGGTGCCAGCACTCATCAGAGGATGAAGTGCGATTGTTTTCCAGTGAACTGAGTAATTTGAAAAGTATTTGTGCCATCTTGCCAAAAACACAAACTGTGTCACATTTATTTTTAGATGCAGATATCCATCCAGGAAGAAATCACAACCAGTTATGTCACACATAAATCAGAGCTACCTGCTGATACCATCACAGAACTTACTACGGTGCTTTTATAAATGGTTAGCTACCCACATCCAAAGCTACGTTTTTCCTTGTTGTATGGCAAGGTATCCAAACTTTAACTTACATCTCAAACTGTCTGCTTTATCACAGAGCAAAATACTCACTGGGGTGGAGGTGTTGGGCAGGGAAGACAGACAATGGGGAGCAGGGTTGTAGCTCTCTCCGTCTTGACGCCTTTCTATCCCACACTTTTGGCTCCCCAAGAAATACTTTGTACTCCCTCTAGAGTTTGGTTTTTTTAAACATTTCTCCTGTTGGATGAATAGCACTGTGCAGAAGGAAAGGGAATTGATGTGTTTGCCTCAGGGCTATTGAAGCATGTAATGTAGGGGTCGTATTAGAGATTCAGGGGGATGGATGGTCAGTCTGGCTATGGTGGTTCTGGATAGTCATGTAGCAAACAAACAGGCAGCTCTCATTAACCTCTGTAGTGGATTAGCCACTGCAGGGGCACAAAGGTCTGCACTGGGCTCATCTGAATTACCTCTTGGTTGCTGCTCAGGCTATTTTCTCTGAGGCTTTTTTTTTTTTTTTACAATCTGCTTTCAGCACCACTCTACGCTGAGCCCTCTTCTGCTCCAGCTGCCAGGCTCTGGCTCCTCACTGTACTAATGTCTGCATTAAACCCTGAGATGTTATTCACCTCTGGATCCCACACAGCCTTGTTGCTCTACACACAAAGGCAACATGCTCCTTCAGGGATCAGCATTCCAGTGAGATTAATAGTACTCATGATAGACAACAGAGTAAAACATCATAAAAAGCCCCCAAACAATTCCTATATCAGCAACAAAGCTTTTACTACACAGCAGACAGAGGAGTCTTAAAAAAGGATGTGTGAGTATACTTGTATACAAGTGAGAAGGGTTATGTCAAAAGAAAGAACTTTCTGGAAGGCTTCCTTAATATTTTCTTCTTCTTCTTGTGTCATATGCTATGGATAATACTGGTTGCCCATTGTCTCACACTTCCTCTCTTAAAAGACAGTTTCACCCTTTCCCAAAAAAAAACGTATCAGCCACTGTGCAAATTTCTGCAATTACGCTTTCTCTTTTGTAAAAAAAAAAAGCATTTTTCTGCACTCTCTTCACTATTTGGAAAATAAGGTCTGCAAATTCAGTGTTAATAAGAACTATTTGACTCACTAAGGCAGTATGCTTTCTGACTACATAAATAATTTTGAATATATAACATATTTTGAGTATTTAACCAAAAGCCCACACATATCAGTGGGTAACATTAGGGATTCATAGTTCTGGTTTAACTCAAATGTTAATGCTGGGGATTAAGAGTTAAGAGCTCTGATGTCATTTTGTCTTCTGGAACCTCTGTTAAAAGTGACTGTTCCCCCCAGATAGGCCTTTCTGCAGCATGGCATGGAGAATGATGGGCACTGTTTTCACATCATGTTAAACTAATGCCATCCCTGTCCTGCTTCCCAAGAGTGCAAGAAATAAAGTTTTGTGTAGGCCCTGTATTTTCCAATGTACAGCCCATCTCTGACATGTAAACTCCAAAAATAGCAAATTCTCATGTTTCAAATATCCACCAAGCTTATTAACTGACCAGCACCCAGGCAGCACTTTAGAGGTAGGCTGGTATGCCTGTACCTTCCTCAGAGAGCTTTCCACAACTCATGCCTATGGGTGTAGGCACCTTCTCCTGGGTACACGCACAGGAATGCACCCACTTCTTTGTTATATTACATCACTTTGTAAGCTACAGATTGCACTGGAAGCCCATGTTTCTCTACCACAGATTATGTGCTGCTCCAGAGACACTTAGTGTTAAGATTAAAGAGCTATATCATTTTAGTTAAGCCTGAGATTAAGATTTCAGCTCTCATTCTAACGGAAATATATATTCCCTACCGCCATTCTGGAAATGATAATGCTGCTGCTTACTTAAAACCAGGAGCAAATCCTTTACATATTCTTAACATATAGGTTGCACTAGGATCCCCCAGATTGATATGTGTTTACAAATTCCCTTTTTTTTTTTCCCTCCTCAATGACATTATCTTTGAGGAGAACAAGCTGTTTATACCATGACCCACTGATACTGAAAGCTGCTTAAATAAATTCTGGAAAAATGCTTTCTAGGACTACAACTAGGCTCCGGGCTTACTCTTTTGCTATCTGCCTCTCAACTCTCCACTCTAGGTTATTTCTTTCTTTCATCATTTTTTCTTCAGTACTTCTAGTTCCTGTCTACCCTGTAATTACACTTTAGATATCTTGTCAGGCTCCTGACCATTTACTTGCAATTTGATGGTGCATGTTCTATGCTGCAAGAAGACATCTGAGCCTTCCTTTGCCCTCATGGTCCCCACCAGTTCACAAACTGCTTCCAGCACCCAAGCCCCCCAGGTGAACTGCTGTGCTGCTTCAGGACCTGGGGTGGCTCTCATCCATCTTTGCTTTGCTGGCATTATGGAAACTCTTGACCAGAACATCATTGCCACCCCTCACCTCAGAAAGCTTCAGTTTTTTAAAGTCTTTTTCTTCATGGAGTATCTCAAAGGATTTTTTTTCCCCAGTAGTATCTCAAAGCATAAATCAAATGCTCATAATTTTCCTACTCAGCAGTTCCAGAATTAAATATATTTTATCTACTCTAAAGTAACAAAGGACAAAATACTATTCTGATGCTTAGTTTAAAAAAAAGTATGCCATTGCCTGCATTTCTCCTTTTGGTAGCAATTTTTTCTCCTTCACTACTGCTTCAGTGCAAGTGGTAAAAGCATTTAAAATACAGTGAAATTGTTGGCTGAGAAGTTAAAAAGGTAAGAAAAAGGAGTGTGTTTGGAGACTATTTTCTGCCCTCATAATTTCTACCCTCCTTTACTTTCTCTCATCGTATTATTCTTTTCTTACTTTCACAGAAATGCTCAAAGCCTTTGGTTTGGTTGTTTTATGCTGTGTGTTCACACAACCTTACTCTTGGTTTCAAAAGGCCTGGACTCTGCTAACAGTTCAAAATGCAGTCCTCCTTTAAAGAAGTGACACCACCTGCAAGCCAGCAAGGCTGAGGGTGTTTGCAGGGTCTTGACAAAATGTGAGCCCACAGGACAAGCCCAAGAACCAGCGAGAAGACACTGAGATGAAAATATTTCAATGCTAGAGGAATGTCTCAATTTTTCAGCTAGGGGAAAAGACCAATTATTTTAAAACTAAAATTAGAAGCTATAAGAGGTAAAAATGTTACCACGTTCTTTTTTTTTTTTAATTAAAATATGTATTCTACTGTAAAACTGTGACTGAGCTGAAAGGTCATTTTGATTCCAGTGCCTCCTGTTCTTTCATTTCAAACACAAGACCCTTCAGCCAACTCAGCTCCACAGGACTGTGAGAGAAAAGATTCCTGAGCTCTCTTTGTAGATGCCAAACCATGCAAACTTTATTGGAGAGCAAGAAAAAGAGAGTGGCTCCTGTGAGCCCTGCTGCCAGGTGGGAAGCAATCCTGTGCTGTCACCTGCTCACTGTGCTTTCCTGGATATCTTCTTGAAATGCCTGTCAGGTAGTTTCTTCTAAGAAAATCTTTGCACAAAAGCAAGAGGTTAATGCTTTCCCTCTGGCTTGGCAAGGCTGGTGCTTGTGCTGTTTTTGATGAATGACTTATGGTGGCTTGACTTGAAAGGTATGCTTTATCTTGTCTTCAGGGAGAAGGAAGGGGCGCAGTCTGGTGCAAGCAGAACTGCTCACCCTTCATTAAAAAGGCAAACCAGAAGTCCTTGGCTAATACCCAAGTCATGGATGTGACCCTCTAAACCTCTCATTCTTTCCACTCACCTGGTGGCCCAAAGCAAGGCAGCTTGGAGGTCTAGATGAAAAGCTAAGAATAGCATCAGCTACGTTACATATATTCGGGCTGCAGTATGCATCCTTTATTTTCTGTTCCTGCTCACAAGATGTTGGGATGAGGCGAGGATGCTGTGATATGACAACTGCACAAAGAGCACAACTGCTAGCTGAAATCCTGTCTGTATTTGTCTCCTCATTAAAGCATAAAACAAACAAAGAAAAAAAAATCCAGACTAGGTGATGAGAAAAACTGGGCACATCTGTAGCTGTCAGACAAAGCCCTGCCAAGAAAGACAATTCCATTTTTCCACTCCTCTGGCTTCAGACATCATGTGCTAACCCCAGCTGCAGGAATTTAAATCTGGTCTTTAAATTTAGGTGACAGGACACCTGGACAGCTGCAAGGCTATCCCAAGTGAAAGGGAAGGGATTCAGAGAAATCGCTTAGTAGATGAACCTTTAGGTAGTGCCTTGAAGAGTTTCAAGACTTTCATACCCTTCACAGAAGTTACAAACTGTCATTGCTCTCTACTCTTTGTCTGCTCCCTTTAGACTTAGTTTATTTCATATGACTATATTAAAATTATATTCAAGATCACTAGCAAAATAGCAAGGGCCTTCATTTGTGCATACAGCACTTGCCTTTCTGATTAATGCTCCCCAAAAAGGAGCTCAGAGAGCTCCTGACCATCACCACCACCACCACCATCACACATCCAGAAGCCTATAACCACTCTCCTGGACTGACTGTCACTGGTTTCCCTGCTCAAACCCAGGTGTCCAATTGCAAAAACAGAGGCAGATGAAGCATGAATGCCTCAAGTCTATGCTCTGCACAACCTGCAGGGAGGGCAGTTCTGGACCGAAACTGAACAGCTGCGTAAGCAGGCCCAGGAAGACCTGTGCTCTCCTTCAATGTAAAGATGCTATAGGAGCAGCAAGCCTTACAGTTCACACGTATCGTGGCACAGCTCAAAACAATGCTGTCATTAACAAAAAGAGGTTTGTCCCATGGTTTGTCCCAACTTCCCCCAATGTACATGCAGGCATTAAGTCCCAAGGTGAGAGTTCAGCAGTGGAAGAAGTCATGGTGTCAGAAAGCAGCTCAAAATTCTCCCACCACAGAAACCCATTGCTAAATCATATTTGTGCCATACTGGGAGCTCTCAGTGACAGGAATGATATATAGCTGTCTAGCAGTATTTATACCACAGCGGGCACTGCAGTATCTGGGGAGCGTGGTATAAATACAGACCGAGCAATAGCCAGGAAAGCCCAAAGAGTGGGCGAAGAGGGTGAGTGGCCAAAGCAGCTGAGAGACGTGCTGATTCAGTGCATCTCCTTCAGCTGTCCTCAGCAGCAGGTTGTCATGGATTAGAAGTTGGGAAGATTAAAATAATTGATTTTTCTTTTTTGCCCTCCCCTTTGAGAGCTTGTTTCTCACCCTTTCCTTGAGCCCATAAGATCCTTCATTTGACTTTCTAACCCCAGCACTCTGTGTTACTACATGAAGTACAGTAAACATATAACAATTTCTTCTAAAGAGATGATCTGGCTCATGCCTGCCAGCCTGTAACACTCAGCAGATGAGCTTAGAGTTGTCATGCCTGCCTTACAAATGGGGAAATCCGTGCAAGGGGAAACTACCTTACCCCAGATACCCTTGGCTGTTCCCAAAGTAGAGAGGTTCATGTTCTCACTCAAAAATTCAGTCACAGGGCTTTTAAGACACCAGGTTGAAACAGGTTTAAATGCAAGGGAAAAGGAAATGGTTGTTCAAGAAAAATTCCTGGATGTGCATCCCTCAGTCACATGTTTAATTTCTTCCCAACATGCATTAAAGGCAAGTATTTTCAACCATTTGAACAGCTGACTTTCAGCAGTAAAATCAGTGAGAATCTGAAATATGAGCTTTGCATGTTGACTTCTTTCTTCTTGATAAATAAATCACAATTCTCTATTCCCAAATGAAACCTTTGAAATGAAACACATGCAAGGAAGAATCCACCACAAAAAAAGGGGACTTGCAACAAGGTTTTGCAAGCACGTCGCTGACTTAGGGGAGCTTCTTCCCATCTCTTCTAACAATGCTTGAGTACCCCTTCTTGCTAGAGAAGGAAGGGCACTTTGTTCTACTTTTTCTATTCAGGATATCATATTTTTTTCTGAAGCAATAAGACTGCTGCAGCAGCATGCCTACTTGCTCCATTTCCCGCAAACGTGTTTTCTTTTTGAACTCTGCTGCTTCGCAGGGAGCTGGACTTCTCAGCAGCACCCCAGCACACAGATTAAATACTTAACAACTACCTTTCGTCACACCTTCAGAGCCTCTTGCACAGCCGGAAAGGATGGAGTGAACTGTTCTTGCGGGTAAGATCGGGTTTGGGAGCCCCTTTTTCCCTGCAGCAGTGGAAATAGAGGAGTGCATGGGATTGCATTTACAGGGCAAATCTTACCTAAGGTTTATGGAATTATTACCATTTGACTAATTTGAGCTATTTCTGCTCAAAAGAAATATTCTACTAATTATAGGGTAATGGTGCTGGAAAGCACTATAATTACTACTCATCTCTTTGCATTCAGAAGGGCATATGGATATTACCTCTGGTGAACAGCATTTTTCCATCTGTCCTGGCTTGATTCACTTAACAGCCTGGCTAAGGACCTTCTCTCCCTGGTAATCTGGCAGTTCAAACTCTTTATTAGA